GCGCCCCGCCTCCACCGCCATCGACGACTCCCTCATCACCCGCCTGCGCGGCTTCAGCGACCGCAACCTCCCCCCTCACTTCCCGCCCTCCAGGGAGCCCCAAATCCGCGACACCACGGAGAGTCTGGCCATACCCTACCCGCACCCCGTCTCGCATCTCGACCCGTCCTCGCTCAATTACCACCCGCACTCTGCTCCCGCCCCACTCCTTTCCTCCGCCGCCTCCGCTTCCGCTTCCGCCTCCGCCTCCGCCTCCGCTTCCGCCTCCGCACCCATCTCCGCCTCCGCACCCATCTCCACCTCCGCACCCGCCCTGCTGCAGCCCCCCCTCGCAACTGACAAGCCCCACGCCTGCCGCAAGTGCTCCATCACCTTCCGCCGCCGCGACAACCTCATGGCCCACATCCGCGCCCAACACAAGGGCGAGCGCCCCTACAAGTGCGACAAGTGCGGCTTCCGCTTCATCAAGAAGGACCACGCCGTCAAGCATTGGAAGGTCGTCCATCTCAAGGAGCGTCCCTTCACCTGCGAAACCTGCGGCAACCGCTTCGGCCAGCGCTCCGACCTCAACAAGCACGTCCGCTCCGTCCACCTCAAGATTAAACCCTTCCCTTGCGAGCAGTGCGGCATGCGCTTCTCGCATCGCGGCAACCAAATACGCCACCAGGTCGTCGTCCACGAGAAGCGAAAGCCCTACCCCTGCGGCCTGTGCGACTCTAGCTTTGCCGAAAAGTCAAACCTCACCAAGCATTGTCAGTCCGTCCATAAGAATTCTCCCGTCTCGCCGCCTGCTACAAACATGACTACACGCGTCTGAGCACTCACTGTTTTGTACAAAATTTCCAAAGAGAGAGACAGACAGACAGACAGAGAAAGAGGGAGGGAGAAAGGGAGAGAGACAGAGAAAGAGAGAGAGAGAGAGAGAGAGACAAAGAAACAAAGAAACAGAGAGAGAGAGAGAGAGAGAGAGAGAGAGAGAGAGAGAGAGACGCTCAACACCCGTGTACAGAGTTGTATTGTTTTTTGTGGATCCCCGACAAACGTCCACCCCCTCCCCCCTCCCCTCCCCTCCCCTCCCATCCCATCCCCTCCTCTCCCCTCCCTCCCCCCTATTCCTTCCTCCCGTCTCGCCTGACTGCCTTTGTTTGTCAACCCGGTTTTCGTCGTCTTTCTTTCTTTTTCGTTGCATATGTGAATAATTTATTTCCCACTTCTATTTTGCGTATATACTCTATTTTGTTCATCCTTCCGGAGGAAGGGTAAGACAATCCAAAAAGAATAAAAAAAAACTTGTATTGCTTCACCAAACAAAAAAACAAAAAACTGCATACGCCATACACCGCATACCGTATCCATGCACTTTCTTTGTGTACGCTATACACTGTACGTCATACACTGTACGGTGTATGAAAGCCGAGGCCGTCCAACAACACCCCTGTGTATAAGGAAATCACTTGCATCTGCTTGCCGTCCCGTCCCATTCATTTACACCGTTACCGTACATACACAAGATTCGTATTGATGCAGCTTGTGATGCACGTCGCGATGCAGGTTGTGCCATGTGCCAGAGATTCCTATGTGTTTTAGTTACTGTTGTACACTACTCTGCCTGTGGGTGGACCACCACCGCGACGACACCCAGCGGGAGATGCGAGGGGATACAAATATCAGAAAGAAGTGATTCGCAACACCATGTAAAGCTTTCCGCCGTCCCGGGCAGCCGAACCGCCTGGGGACACGTCAGCGGACAAAGCGCCTGTGCTTACCGGGAGGCGAACAGCGCACGTCGCAGCGGGGAGCCAACGGCATCCGAGAAGGGGGGGGGGGGCGCCCTCCAAACCGGTTTTGTTTTGTTGTCGGACGCGACACAGGGAGCAGCGCGGGCGAGCGATGACAGTCCCCCATGTCCAGTAACCCCAGGGTGGCGGGTGCGGTGTGCCGGTGTTGCTCGGGCGGACCGCGATACAGATGTGGGTTCCGCAAAGAGTCAGCGGCCTTACGCGAGAACGGGGGAGCCGCGCACGTGTGTGTCGCCGCCCATCAACTTTTTCCCCCCGTGAGCCGCGATTTCCCTTCCTCTCCAAAAACAGCCGCCCCGCCGCCCCCGAGAGCCCCGCCCTTCCGTCTTGCCACGTATCTCCCTCTCCAAATTCCCCGAAAACATTTCACACATTTCCCCAAACACCAAACCCTATTGTTACATCCACCTCCCCCGTCTCCCCCGCCTGATCCTTTCCCACCACCCAGCGTCTTGCCGACCCCCCCCGAAACTTCTTGTTACTGGTGATTATGGTTGTGCGAGTGAGTTTTGCAAAT